AAAAAGTGACATTTTTGTAAAGATTTCAAAAGTGTCACATTTTTGTAAAATGACATTTTAAAAGTGGTATTTTTTTGAAAATTTTCAAAATTCAAATGGTCACAAAAGACCAAAAGTATTAGATTTTTACTTAAAAAAAAATAAAAAATTAACTAATTTGATACAAAAATATGTTTTCTCTAATACATTACTTAATAGAGAAATTTCAAAAAATACCACTTTTTCAAAATTATTTATTCATTATATCATTTATGTTTGGATTAACTATGTTGTATTAGAGTTTAGTTTTGAGGGTTTAAGGAATTTTAGGGGTCAAAAATTTTTTTAGGGGTCAAAAATTTTTTTAGGGTTTAAAATTTTAATATTTAGGCTCTAAAAAATCATAATTAGTGGTATTTTTGCAAATATTAACACAAAAGTGGTATTTTTGCAAATGTCCCTAATTAATATGATACAGATAGATTATGACAAATTTTACTCAAATTAAGTCAGAAAACATATCCACACCTAAAAGATTACAAAAAGGAAAATATTGTATGAAAAATAAATGTGTATACATATGTAATCAAATGAAAGGATTGATCGATTTTTGTGTGTCAAAGAGTTTCATATAGTCTCTTCCTTCCATTATATAAGATCTTATATTTTTAAAGTTATTTTTGTGTTCCATTTTTTATTTGAATATTTCTAGTATTTTAGATTACCGTATTAATTAAGAAATGACTACTAAAATGTATAATTGTAAAAACAAACAAAACATGATATAAAAAAAATTGGTGTAAATATAGTGTTATATGAAAGTTTTAAGGGGAAAATAGATAATAACTTAAATAAACTCTTCCCAAATAAGGTTCGAATCCTTGTTGCTGGAGTTTCTCTTTTGAGGATCCAACAACGATCAGTAAACTACCTAAATTTGGTTATGATGATCATGTTGCAATGGCGGGCAATCCATATCTTTAACCGCCTTGGTCGTATAGCATTAATCATGTGACTCGTTTTCATATATGGCTAAACTGTTGGATGAAAAAAAGATGGTGACTGGTATGTATGTGAATAAACAACGAATACATAGAAAATCCATTTTTAATTCAACTTGTGAAATATCTTTCTTATGTTGTTTACTTTGTGCCCTTTGATAAAATATTGAAGTCCTTATGTTGCATGATTGCGAATAGATTGGTTTCTCTAAGTTCATAGCAATGTGACCAATGTCAAAGTTAGATTTATTGATCTCTAATTTGTCTTTTTGATTCTTGGTTTTTAACTGTTTTATAAAAAACAATTATCATTATAGTACTTATACTATTACTAAGCCCTTATAGCTCAGTGGTAGAGCGTCAGTCTTGTAAACTGAAGGTCCGTAGTTCAATCCTGCGTGAGGGCACCTTTTTACACTTCTCCTTGTCTTTGGGCTTTTTAGGCCCAAATATAGCTTGCTTTCCGTTTCACGTTTTTGTAGACAAACACCTTGCCGTTTTTAATCTCAACACTTTTCGCTATCTTCAGTTGTCTTCTTCTTCGTGCCTTTTCTTAAAACCCTATGCCGCCACAACCAAACAAATCCGTTCGTAGC